GCTCTCGCAACCTAATAGCGTCGGGGTCGGAAAAATACCAAGAGTTGGCCTAGGGGGGCCGATAGGAAAGATGAAAAGGAGAGAGAGCCCCAAACAAGATAAGTTGAAACAGAATGAGGCTCAGCTAGGGTACCTCGGGTTCGCCAGGCCCGTACCCACCAGTTGTGAGCCCCCGAGGGCATATATATATATATATATATATATATATATATATATATATATATATATATATATATATATATATATATATATATATATATATATATATGCAAATATCTTGAGGGGCTGAGACAATGTTGTCAGTGGTGGTAATTTTTTCATGTGTTCAAAAGTATAGGCAAATTAGAAATTTATTAAAATTTACTTTAACAAAATAATACTTTTAAATAGTACTTCTTTTAATAATAGCGATTTGTAAGCGGTCTGTAAGAAATGTCTTTTTTCATGGTGTCAACATTACAACGAATAAACAAACGCTTGCGCCAATGTAGGGGAGTTTTTAACCTCGATTTCATGCGCATCCTGTACTACGTCTGTGTCTGTTTATTTTTTGTGAGAAAAGTAACTTTTTCATCGTAAAATAGTTTGTTATACAACAAGTGTGGTAATCGGCATTTGAGTCGGGAACTTATTTGGCACGAGTGGAACAAGTCCTAAATAGTTTACCAAACGAGTTGCATACTATACTTTTTCCACGACTATTAGTTTTAGGGTACATTTTTCCAAAACAACACAAATACATTCACTAACATATCCGTCAGAATTGAAAAACGTCAAAAATTTAATTCATAGGTAATATCTTCGAAAACAATCTATTGCTCCCAAACCCATTTGATAATATCACGGAAATGTCCGAAGTAGTTTGAAACCATAGGAAACGAACGAGTAGTGTTAGAATGACACTTTCCTCAACCTAAATGGGCAGACAATTGCCTATTTTAGAGCAAGGAGTAGAAAAGTTGTTTTTGGATATTACTATTACAAAAACTTATCAAAAATGGTAAAATATTGGACGTTTGTGCAAAAAACTTGGCCATTTCGTATGTATGCAGCCAAATCCAAGTCGTGTTTTAAAGGCCGATGTACTTGATTTCTTGTTTTGGTTGGGTATTTATACTTTATGCTTGGGTATGCTTAGTATATATTGTAGATTATGCAAATATCACTAAATTTTGAAATATAACATATTTTGTTTGGGGGTAAAGTACAAACGCGAATCGGTCTATATGTGGCTTGGAAAAGTAAGAACTATTTTAAAATTGCGACAAATTCATTCATGCCAAGGAGCTTTTGAAAAACCTTGTTTTCTTCCACTTCAGGGAAAATACGATGCAATATCCCGTCAAGATACCTTGGGCTAAATTTTTCCATTTCATATTCACAGAAAAAGGCCTCGCCTATTCTTGTATCACAATTTTCAGTTACCAAATAGTGTTAAATGGACAGAAAGCCTTAACACTAAAAACATTTAAAAAAAGTCAAATAATCTGCTACTAGAGATAAAACCATACACAGCACAGATATTTCTTGACCACAGATTTTAAAACGTTAACTTGGACCATCTTCATGTATTTTTTATTCCGTATATTTGACGGGTACTAACTTAGGTGCATGATATTATTAAATGTACATCTATTTGCATTCTGATATAAATGTTACATTATGTAGGTTGCCAATTACCAGTTAGTAATATCCATAAACATCTTCAGAAGAGATCGTTTCATTTTTCTAATACGATACAATGTATCCGCTGCTAAGAAAATATAAACTACGCTACTCCAATGCGCCATATCTAGAAACTTAAAATTTTACTGCTATATATTGGCTGGATTCATCGAATGGAGGACAATAAAACGTTGCCATAGTTTAAGGTCTTCGAAAACCAATAAAAGCAATTCTGAGTGGGATAGTTAAAGAAGGATTTGTTTTCGTTAGTTTGACATTTCTGTGGCGGTATCAGGTCATAAAATAAAAGACCCCAGGGTTGGAATATGATTTAATCATTTTTGGGATGGAGTCGAAAGTTATGAAATGGCCAATGCAACACAAGCGGAAGTTTTATATTATTATTGATGATTTGGATTTTACGGTGTAGAATATGATAGTAATTAATATAGGAATCGGCACAAGAGACGAATAACAATAACAATATAACAAACGATTTGAGATATGACCCAAGATTCTTTTTTTATATATAGGCAGAATGACTTTCTCTTATTAATTAGAATGAGAAACAAAATAATTAAGTTTTTCAGCTTTGAAAACTATGGTATATTAATTTTAAATTAATTAATTAATTCAATTTTCTTACTTTCATTTGCTGAAGTGGTTGCTCTATATTGGATTAATAAGGTATCTGCACTCTCTGTGTAAGTTTTTAAGAGTTGAGATGCTATGGAGTAGTTCATCGAAATAGGCTAAACTCTCATCCGAATAAACTTAATATAATTCACAATTAATCACATTTATCTATTTTGCATTGAAACAAGATAAAAAATTATTTGGAGTTACAAGAATAATACCATCACAAAAACTAATTATATTTAATAATTTTGTTACAATTACAACTTTTAACAAACGAGAAAATTGTAAACTAAATGTAGAATTTATATTATTTGTAGTTGTTTTCATGACTGGAAAAAATGAAACTGTCTTTTCAAAATTATACGGAATTGATAAATTTTATAACATGCTATCCATTCCTGTTTGTAATAAAACAAAGTAATAAAAAAAAACAAAAAATCGTTCGGACGAAAAGCCGTAATCAACCGAAAAAATAAACACTTTGTATTTATTGTAGTACTTTGTAGTTTTATGAAGTTCGCAGCCAATAAAATCGTAATGGAAAGCAGGGCGTGTAACTTTTAATTGCACGTTAACACAAAAATGTTTGTTTTTAATGTACCGTGTGATATGGCGATTTTACGATAGAAAGAGAGCTGCTCCAGATTATCGCAAAAATAAAAGGTTCATGGCAATAGAACAAACACTATTTTATTATTTGGTTTCGTAAATCGCTTGATACATTTCTCTATGAATAAATTCGACAAAGAACAAAGAATAAAACAAAATTAATGAATTAAAATTAAATTCACTAGCTAACACACCAACTAACCCACCAACATATTTGCTATTCCCTACTCTAAAATACCCACCCCGGTTAGCGCAAAGTATCACTTTAAAACGTCAGTTTTATTAAACGCTATTGCGAGCCAGTTTGGGCAGTACTTTAGTCACAGATAGACTTAAAGCACTGATGTTTTTTTTTCAAAGAAACTTCCGCAAGCGGTGAAACTTGTAGGTACACTTCTGCATTTATCTTGCATCGGATAGTGACCCTACTCTGCTCTCTCTTCCAATCAGGATTCGGTCCTCCGTAAAGAAATTAAACACCGGTGGGTACCGGTAACGTTTTTGCTTTACACTCCCCGATCTTATTTTAACATCCTACGGCACCATGCACAACAAGTGGCGTTCCATCCCACTTCTCTTGCCAACGGCAGATATTTAAGGTGCATGCAGAGCAATCGACCCTCAGTTTCAAAAGAAGTCAGCAGCATGTTTGGGAAAACGTCAGCAAGACGGAGTCAATACCTGAGGAAGAAAAAATTAAAAAGAAGTGTAGCTACACTGACGGTATTTTCATATTTTTCCGTTCTGATGGTGACGTTATCCTTCATTTAGTCAATTTGTTGCTATTTTTTTGCAAAATTTTACTAATAGTAGTAGACAAAATTTTGTATTCGTGTGCTCGCTAATCCAAGGACCATTGAACTGCTTCCAAATAAATACTTGTTGTTGGTTTTCACAAATTTAATTTTCACACTTGAACCCACATTTAATACACTTTGCATTAATTGCTCTTAAGCAAAAAAACTTAGTGTCTATACCAAACCAGAAGTGGAAAGCCAATCTCGTGAAATATATGCTTGTTCAGGGTATATTCCGCTATTAGGAGGGCTAGTTCCGCGGTTAGATGTTAGATGATGCTATTTGGATCATAAAATATGTCTTTTTCTCGCCTCATTAAGTATACTATACCACAGGTTAATAAACTTCTTGAGACAATTGTTTATTGTGTTTACTCATGACTAAAGTGCCTTCATTCAAAGTTATCGTCAATAGTAATTAGTTATCAATCTTCCTTTCGTTTACAATTTCGGCGCTGATCTAGCCAACAGCATCTTTTAATATCCCATTTCCTTACAGATCATGTGAGGAACAGCCGATGTTATTGTTAATGTTTTTGACTTGGTATTCACGATAGTCCTCTAAATGCAACAGTAACGTTTTTCTGTATTTGTATTTTTTCCAGCTATCAAGTAAGCCTGAACGCTTTGCCTGTTTGATGTTAATAATAATATACAGATGCTTAGTATTACGTGGGACTATGTAGTACTAATGGAAAATGCATTATCATCGATTGAGTAGGGCTGTAAATACAGTATCCCTAATTGAAACTTGATTATACATTAAGTACAGAGCAAAGCAAAAGAAGATAGCAGCAGATGCCAAAGTTATCTTCTTAGAAAAAACAAAATCGCAGTTGACAGGGTGACTAAAAGATTTCATGCATAGCACAAACAAACAGAAGAAAGAAACGATTATCACATTAAAACAACACGTAAACAGGCTGTTTGGATTGCCTCCGAAAAATTGTTTAAATACACTCAGAAATTTTTCTTGATAATATGATGTTGATTATGCAAAATATGCAAACGATGAAATAGCACGAACCTTGAAACGTCTGCGTCAGAATGAATTTTCGCCGGAGTAGAAACTTTAAGCAAATAAAAAAAATTATGTTGAATATAGCGGAAATGTTCCTAAATCAACATCATCAAACTCCGTTGTTGTGGATTGCGAGATATAAGAAACTTTAAACACATTAACAGTTTTGCGACTTCCGGAAAGTTCCCAGTCCCAGCAGCTTATTAAAATATTTATTTAGTGGCTATCTTTTCGAGAATTTGCCTCTGACGATTGTTTTAATTTTGCAGATTCCGCACGCCAAGCGTGTTTGGGGCCAAACAGAAGATTCTCCCACCACATTAAATTCGTCATCATCCTCCATACCATCTCCGACTCCTCCATCCAGTATTGAAATATTGGCTATATATGTTATACCTGGGATTGGTAATTCGATCAGAGTGATATGGGGTGCTGATACCGACAGAGAAATGGGAAACTTTACTTTCGGATTATTTTACGGGGAAGATGAAGGAGAGTTTAACTGTAAGTCGGTGGCGGTTAAAATGTGTAGGCGTAATTGATTGATTTTATTTTATATTTTGTCGTATTATCATTATAATTATTACGACTTATCTCGACAGGAATTAAGTGGCGAAAAGTTAAAATTGGTTTTTGCTGGAACAACATTTCCCATGTCGTTACGAGGGAAAAGACTGCAAGTTTATCGTTTAAATTTGTCGTAAATCAAATTGCCGATTTGGCGCAAAACGGAAAGGACTATTACACAATTTATTAAGGACCTCAATTTACAGCATAATAAATTTCATTTTACAAGACCTTGAATATTAATTTCCGTTCGTGAACCCAAATTTTCCGTTTAAAATGTAAGAAGATTTATCGAACCACCTGTTTTCCGACGACCTTGTTTTGTTGAGTGACATTATTTTGAAGTCTGTTTAAAACGTCCAACACTCTCAACAGCAGGGCAATGCTGAGCATTTGCCGGTCCTATCAAGTGGTTCGTTGAACTTGCTTCTAATCCAATTAAACAAAAGTAACTTAAGTTCAGTTGAGATTATAAATGAAGCTATAAAAATTCTTTGCGAAAAAATATACCTACTAACTAACCAATATGATAACTTTAGTATAAACGTTTAGAACCTACATTTATATGATTTTTTTCTTGTAAGAGATAGTAGCATTCAGATAATATTAATGAACACCAGTATTTCTACTTATTATTTAGTTAATCAGAAACCTACAAGACACTTGTTTGTTTGTTACTTTAAAAAGCAGACAAAAGAAAGAAAACCCTTAAAATATGGAATTTCCTCACTAAAAACGAGACAAGAAAGTGACATTTCTGAATTTGTATCAGCAATTGCCACTGGTATTTTGAACTACACTTTCATTATATACGGATACCTACACAAACAAACATGTTTTACGCACAAAGCAATAGGTAAGGATTTTATTTATTTAATCCGGGGTTATCGAATTGAGGGCGGCTTGTAGGCTCACATTTGTTGATGCAATGCTATTTGCATGAGCAGAGTATTTTGGATATCTACTTTTATTACATTACAAAGGATATCCAAAAGGGTTTCTTATATATCATAAAACGGTTCCCAAGTGGAAATCCAGAGATTATTTTGTCTGCTAATCAAGTCGATTTTTAATAACGTATTAGCCTTTGTTTTATTTTGAATCTAGCAAGACAGTCGGGACCCTTCAAAAATCTGATTTGTAAAATTCGATCGAAAGTAATACCGAGTATTCCTTTGACTCAGTTTATTTTTAATCAAAAACATAATAGAAGATAAATAACGATAAAGTATTTTCAATTTTTCTGTACTGATAGAATCGGCTCAGGTCAGTTAATTATGGCTACTAGACATGTAGAGGCCCTGTCTATGCTAATAGTATAGGAACTCGTGAAGCAACTATGTAAGAAAGTTTCGAAAAGGTCTGTTCAATATGCGCATGCGCGCGAGATTTGAAATTTCGTTTCGTTTCATTCGTTCGACCCATAAGGCCTTGCGGCTTCCAACAACCAACATGGCCAGGTCGTCATTGTTTGGATGCTGCATTTTTACCGCAGTATTTTCTTATTATTATGTCGAAATCTCATTAAACATGTAGGCAAAAAAGGAATTAAGGTGTAGAAAGCGTTGTTAAAAGAATTAGCGACAAGTGCATGGTTAATATTATGCTGAATTACTGCTTACTGCTACTCCTTAGTATAATTCTGTAAGTAATTTGGCGTTTTGGTTCTTTAAACCATATGGACACGATACCAGCTATTTTTTCCCGAATTTGTGCCTGTAATCGGCACAAAAAGTTTGATTCTAAAAACTTATAGGTGTAACCTCTATTGAAAATGTAAATAAAGTCGAATTCACCAAGTGTAACTCTTAAAAATGTAAATATAAGTAAATACATATAAGGTACTAGACATCGCACAGGATACATCTAAGTTGAAAAAATGTTCAACAAGCACCTCCTATAGACAGAACGCTCATTCTGTCGTCGCAAGTCTAGTAATTGCAGAATGTTTCGCCTTCCAAATTTATAATTATGAAAAGTGCCTATGAACAATTTCGTTAAAAAACTGTAGGTATTGCAAAATATAACCAAGAAAATTAAGAACTAGTATAAAAAAAGTCAATAATCAATTATCCCTTAATGTACAAGAATTGCACCGAAATCAGTTTTAGAGAATTAATTAGTTAATATAATTAGTATATATTGGATTTTATTCAGCACTTCAAAAAAACATCATCATTTCTCTCGTTTCTAGTATTGGGATTATGAATTTTTCTTATACACCCAAAAGTTATTATATATGCGTGGTAAAAACATTTGTGCAAGTTTATCCATTTAAATTTAACAAACGCTAAAAAGTCGTTTATTGTCTCAAAATTTAAAAACATGAGATGATCTCCTATTAAGAAATATTGGTTTCCAGATTCAAAAAAAGAAGATAAAACCAATAAAAGAATGGTTCATTCATAATACATTTAACTATTGTTAATTATTCGTTGCATAACTCAAGTAAAAATTACATTAAGCCTAAATTCAATTCAAAATTAAAATCAGCTTCATTTTGCTTGCTGACAATATGTTACTGTCCTTCAGTTCTTTTAAAAAACTGATTACCGCTGTTTATTTTGTGCCTGGCTCCTCTGTAACTTGTAATGTTGTTTATACGACCATTGCTATCTGCTCTAGTTTTACCTAGGAAAGAAATTATTATTATGTCTTTTTGAAAAATAAAGCCCAAAAACGCCCCCCTTTCAACAAAAATCATATCAATCAAGTCTACAAAAAAAAATGGAATAGAGAACATAACTTTGGACTGATCCCAAGTTATTGAGCTATTGATGAAATATAATCCAAAAACTGGTGGTACTTACGACGACCCAAAGACATAGTTTACTCTCGAGCTAAGCAAGGGTTGGGAAAATAGTCGAAGACTAATCAAGATCTCTTCTTCCCAAGTTGCGCATATAATATTTTTCCTACTCAAGCAGATTTCCAAAATCAATTTTATTGATAGAACTGTTTCTGTTTAATCAGTATTGCAAGCACAAATTATACAAGTTTGTGAGTGTGAGTCGTATATAAACCACATTTAACTCTTTTAAAATGACTGGTACATAAGTCAGCACTTACCCGTGTATAGGCACATTCTTTTCCTTACAGTTTTGACCACAAACAACAAGTTTTTCACAATAAACACGAAAATCGGAGATAATCACAAACATCAAAAATGAAAACAACAATGGCACAAACTGTTAGTATTCTCTGACAATAGTAATTACCTAGCTCGGTGTTGCCAATTATATTCGGATTTCAGAGACTGATTTTGCGTTCTTTTAAAAATTAGTCATTTTTTTCAAAAAATTACTGTAATGTCACAACTCAGTCAGTTGGGAGTGACGCATACGTACAAGAGAGTATGGTAGTATTTTCTTATAGCTATATGATTCTGACAGATAGGAAAGTAATATATATATGTATTTCTATTTAGATTGTCCATATGGAAGCTTTATTACGTTTTTGGGTACAAATCTGCTGGTCTGTAGCTGTATTTTTTTTTATATACATTTGACTATCGGCAAATTGGACAGAGTCTGAAGTATATATCCACGTTTCACTCTGCATGATAAAAAATTGTGTGCATTGACCGAACTATCTGATATATTTGCGATAAAAATACTTTTTTTCGGATGGAAAACAAATATGCATTCCGTGTCGTGTTGTGTGCTTAAATTGCAGTTTTATTTTTTTAACGGAATTTAAATGCAACACGGACGACAAATATTGAACACGTGAATATCGAATTAACTGAAAATGCATTTCAGTTAATTCTTATTTTCGGTAGGTTTTTAAGATATTATTTTGACTTTGGTTAGTTTTGTTACCGTTATAATTTAAATTACTTTTTCAAATTCAGAGTAATCCATTAAACTGGATTACGATTGAACAGAATTATATACAATATAGGATCAGTTTTTGGCAAGTCGAACTTGCTGACGTTTCGCCAATCATCCTGTTGGCTTCTTAACAGAGCTTGACTGAAACTGCTCTGAAGCTCTGAAGAAGCCAACAGGATGATTGACGAAACGTCAGCAAGTTCGACTCAGCAAAAACCGACGCAGGAGGAATCCAGAAGTTTTGTAAAAAGTATTACAGTAGCCTGGGGAAGTTTCTTTGAAAAATTAATATAGGACCAGGTTAGCCTGAATTTTTTCTGATTAACTCAGAATGAACAATCAGTCAAATTTGGATATTTTTAATCTAAATTTAGACTTTTAACTTGGGAAAAATATTTAACCTAACCAAAATTAAAATAATTTCTGAAATGGAAGGAAATAATTATTAACATTTTTTGAAACAAGTTAGACACTTGCAGTAGGACATCCAAGGAATGTACTCTCGGTATCATCAGCCTAATAGTCAAACACTCATCTTGAAATGTCTTACGGTTTACTAGGGTAGCCCAACCAAGTTTCAGTCCGTCAGCTAAATGGATTAACTACTAGTAAACATAAGAAAACATAAGAAAATATATTTCTGCAGTGTTTCTAATAATGTTTGCTCCACGCGACAAACAAATTACTAAAAGCACATTTTTATATCAATTACTTGGTCAATGTCATGGAGGAAAATTTGAAAATTTCGTATTGAAAACACGAGAACTAGAGTTAGATGAAAAAATATTGGAAAGTCAATTAAAAAAAATGTTTACAATGATATTTTCGAAACGTATACGAAATTTAAAACAAAAATAACGAGATCGATCACAAAAACTTTTCACATTTCTTGCAAATCAAAAAATTTCCCGTAAATCCCCGAGATCACAGCGTTCAGCAAAACAGCTATTAAGGAAATCCGCTATTTTTTTTTTCTTGTTGACATATATATCTTCCATTCTTTACTCCACATTTCCATAAAATTTCTATTGCTCACTCTTTAAGTCGAGAATCCATAAAAGTTCAACGGCATTATAGGCCAGAAAGTTCATGCTGCCCATTATTAATTACCCCCACGCTTAGAAACTAAATATTATATTTGTGTGGAAAAATTGAAAAAACTTCGCAAATTTAATTGAGTATATTTAATTTTGTCTTGTTGTTACTTTTCTTTTGTTTTAACTTACATAATTAATTTGTTACCTTTGGAAGATTAATTAATTAAAATAATCTGGCTGTTCGTAAGTTATGTAATCCCGATCGACAAAGGAATTTGGTTTTTCAGTTTGGAAATCTGTATCAAAAGCCGCTTGAAGATCAATTTTTTTCAGCTAAGACATGCGGATCATTTTCGATTACGTCACTATACGTGACGTAACTGCACAATTGCTCTGACTGGACTTTAGCTGTTTCCACTTTATCCAGTCAACCACTTATATAATGAATGTATCCAAATATGTTGAAGCTGTCTTTTAAATAAAAAATAAATTGTAGTTTCTTTGCCTCTTACTCTCGATTGGACCGTATGATTTATTCTCGACAAGATTTCTAAGAATACACTACTAATCATATTAAAAGCTACTTGGATTAATTTTTAATCCCAGTAGTGATTTATATTCACATTTTCTAGGCTAAAACACATTCATAATCAAAAACTCGGGTACCGCTGGGAATTCTATAATACTTTTTATTGCAATTGAGAACCCACTCAGGACACTCTTGACTCGTACTTGAAAGGTTTATGACTTTAGATATCCCCTTTGATGGAAACCTTTGATCCTTATCCGTTCCAAGCAGCTTGTAATGTGAGGATTGCTATTAAGCGGAACCACCAAAGATTGGGTGACTTCTACGATCAGGTGTTGCAACGCCACAGTCTAAAGTTAGAAAACGGCTAAGTGACTCTTGATAAGTTTAATTTTACATCAATAATTTTGAATACAAATCATAATTTGATATAGGAACGAAATACGATGATTAGTATTTGAGTTCGATCAACTTACAGTCTAAAAATGTGGGTACAAAATTGAATAAAGTAGGATGAAAAAGTATTAAAATTACCTATGAAAAACTTTCTTACAGACTAGGATAACCGAATAAAAATTATAAATGAGCAATTATTTTTACATTTTTAAAACATACAAAACATACTTGTAGTGACTACCAAATCTCCATCAGACCTGCAACCGTGATATTCAATTTCAGGAAAATGTTATATTTCGGGTAAACTGTTTTGGTTGCAAACTTTAGTAAGTTTGTATCACGTCTTGCCATTTTTAGCAGAATTCATCCTTGGAGAACATTTTAATGTTTCTATTACGTGGTAATTTTTTTTATATTATCCTATGACCTATATTGTAACTTGTAGAACCGAGATTTATACCCTTTTATTATTTTTATTTATTTTGCCAAAAGAATATCGGTCAGTCCTGGTTACGCAAAAGAAGGCTTATAAATCGTGTTGAACACACTTTTTAAATACTTTCGATAATACAATATTTTTCACTACTAACGTATTATAATTTGTAACACTGGCAGAAGCTTTTATTTTAAGAATTTCGTTGTTTGCTTTTTTTATTCTGAAAGTAGAGTTATATGGCCGCTTATAATGAGCATGTTAATAAAGAATAGTATCGCAAGATATATGCTTATTCAGCAACTCTAATTATATAAATAACGCGCATTATTCATACGATAGGACAATCTGTAAGTCGCTTTGCGTCAGTAAACATTGTGTGTTACGTGTATTATAAAATAGGTTTTAAAAATACGAATTTCACATTTTGAAATAAAATTGTGGCTTTATTTAAATTTATAAATATATATAAAATTTGTAAATAGTAAACGTAATATGTTCTTTAACTAAAGCTGATAAATTATTTACCTCCGACAATGTGGCATATTTTTGAGAAGTTTATGGCTGTTATTGGAATAAATGAATTGGATGGAGTACATATAAACTACCAACTGTGTTTTAATAGGGTTCCAGTCCACCTCTGTTGACATGTCAAAGACAGAGCGCTTTGACCAGGCAGCTCCATTACGTTTTCGTAATTTCATTTCCCATTCTGTAGGCTGTCGACAGTTTGACGGAAAAATTTTCCCATGTTTATTTCTCACAACCAACTTTCCGAGGTTCACAGCAAATACATAGGAAATAAAGAGCCAACATATATGGCTCTAAAAATAAATTTATTAACTTTTCAATTAATTTAGTAAGTATTAATTTTCATATGATTTTAGATCCAAAGTTGACTACATCCAACTTGAGCGTAATAGTTGAAGATCTCGAATATTGTACGAGATATAGTTTTGCTGTGACCTTGGATGACGGTGGCGGCTTCGACATATCTAAAATTAATCCGAATCTAGTAAGAAGTATTGTAACTGGAATTGATCCTTTGGCAGCACCAACAAATTTGACGGTATGTAATAAATATCAATAAATTTTAACTGTTTTTTTAAATAGTTTGTTTAGCGAAGAAAAAAATGGAAAGAGTTGGAAGTATATGTTTATACTTATATATTATATTATATATTATGTCAATGCAGTGTTGAATTTTGTTGGAAATTAAACATTATTCATTGACAATCAGGAACTGTTCCATTAGGAGCTTCTACAAACTATAGTATTAGGCAGAATTGTACAAAAATCTCGTACTAGTTGCTTGTAACTAGGAACACAAGCAAAAATTGGTTGTTAATGTCGTGATGGATAATTTTTAGTGGTGGTAAGGAAAAACATAAACGATTCAATTCAAGGTGTAAAATGCACAATAGGGAACAATGTCGAAGGTATATTGCTCTTTAGTATTTTTCAATACCCTTAGTGCTCAAACTTCCCAAACTGATTTGAGTAAATTAAATTCATTCTGTTAAAACAATACCTTGTTTTTAAAGTACGAAAAATGCTCCATTTTTGTTTTTTCCAACAAAACAAAAAAACCCATAAACATTTAATTTTAAACTGAATAACGTAGACCTAAAATGCGTCAGCTACGACCAAGGTATCTATGTTTAAAAAAATCGTTATGCCTTTTTAGAATTTTGCTTATTGCTTCAAGTTTGTTGTTCAACTGTAATTTCAATAGAGTTTTTATATCATATACCAGACTAAACATTATAAAAAATAAATGTAGAAAAAAATTATGTTAAGGAATGTTGAAGAACAAAAAAAAAATTGCATTGGGCCGACCGTTGCTTTAAATCACAGATATAATATTTATAGCCATTGTCTTACTTATAAACGAAATTTAGAATTTTAGAAAAAAAAAACAGATTCTCTAGAAAACAGACCTAAATACTTGATTTTTGTTGGGTCCATAAAATTGTAAATTATATGTATAGGATGAATCAACGATAGAGTAAAGTTCATTATCTCATTTGTTTCAAAATTTATGAGAAAATGATAAATACACAAGTTGTAAAGATCGTTAAGATGCACAATTTAAAACTATTTTACAGTATACAAGATGGCTCAAAAAAGCTTGAATAATAAAACATACATATTTTTAAATCGAACACCCTATTCTTAAATTATGTTTTGTATTCGTTTTTAAATTGTCCAATTTTTTTTATTAATATTAATACATACCTAAACCTAATAGCTTTTCTAATAATTTAATTTTCCTAAAAAAATACTAGTTTTCACACTTGCAAGAAAATTAGGTATATGCAAAGGAATTTGAATTAATTTTTCTAAGAAACTTTCACAGTCTGCTGGAATATTATTAACAAATCTTCTGAATTCCTCATTCGTTAGTTTTTATAAATCAAACTTACTGACTTTTCACCAATTATTATGTTGGCTTCTTTAGAGGTTGATTGAAACTGACTCGCAGTTTACTCTGTACCTGCTTATATATTATTTGACGGGGGCGGAGCTAAAGCTAAAGCTGTACTGGTGAAAGATGAGTCACGATTAAGATGAATAATAAGATTTTTCTTAAGGTTCTTTCATGTTCTTTGAGCCTAGTTGATATTTTTCGTCCGGTTCCTCCAATGTTTTTTTTTTGCCGCATATGCATGGTATATGAAACGGAATTTTCTCTTTAACGGGTTGAAGATGTTGAGAAATTTTTGGACAAATATTAAATCTGTAGCAGTAAATATTTCTTAAGAACTTTTGATGTGTGGTCAGTGATGTTTTGAATGTTACAAAGGACTATAGTGGCCAATGTGGGCTTGCTTTCGGACTTACTGTTTTTGGAAGGTTATGGTGAAGTGTATTTTGTCCTGGAGCGCTGAACATCTCTAATGTGGAAATTATTGGTGACAAGAGCAGATGTAAAGTGTTTTAATTCTGGGTTCAGTGACTCAGGTTGAAATAGTTTTGCGGCTCTGTAAACAAAAGAGTTGATAACCGATGACTTTTGGGCTGGATGGTGATATAACAATGCATTAAGGTGGCAGTCTATGTGCGTAGGTTTTCTGTGAATAGAGTGACCCAATGTTACGTCTAATTTTCTATTGATCAAAATATCTAAGAATTGACGATTATTGATCACTTTTAATTCAATCGTAAAACGTATGTCAGGGTGTATCTCGAAGGAATTCTTGACCATGAAGCCAAATGACAAAAGTGTCATCAACTTAGAGGTTCCATAATTTCGGATTTAAATGGAAGGTGTTTAGTGCTTTCTTCTCAAAGGCTTCCATAAATATTTTCGCGATGACCAGTGATAATGGAGAACCATTGCTGCTCCCGACGTTTGTTCAGAAATTTGACCGTTACAAGGAAAGCATGGTCCAGACAAGCATTAAGATGAGACGATTCCAAATTTTCGTATTTCAATATATAGGCATTTTAGTTAGTTTACTTATTCAATGAAATGAAAGGAATTAAGTACGAAACTATCAGTTTTGCTTGTAAAGTGTTCTAATATTAAAGCTAGATATTTTGCTAGAGAATATGTTGGAGAACCAATGGTGCTCTCATTAGGTGGAAAGGGTGGTTTGTGAATCTTAGGAAGTCCGTAGAGAAAAGAAATTGTAGAGTCATGACTTTTTCGCCGAGTCTGATAGAGGTAGATGACGTAGGATCTTTTTTAAGTTGACGTCTGTAAGAATATCTAGAATTTTTTCCTGATATTCACTTGTGTTTATTATCTGATTTAAAAATTACGATGGCGGAATTTGATTTTAGAGATTCAGACTTTATTTATGCAGGATCGAAAAACCTCTGTAATAATTATGTGTTAAACAAACCTTGTCGTTCCTAAAAATAGAAATACGTCTAATAGTTCGTCTTTTTCAAACTTTTTAAATTATGACAATTTTAAATGGAACACCGTTTATAATCTTTGTATTGCATCCGCTAAGAACTTTAGGAATATATACAACACTTTACCTTTTGTTTTTAATTTTAGTTGTTAAAGTACAATTTATGTTCTAATCTATTATTTAACGAGCTGACTCTGCCCGAAACAAAAAAATGCTTTGTCTGAAGAAATATCAATATTAGAAAAAATACAGAATATTGCTTCGGCCATTTTATTAAGTCATTAAATTTTCTAATTTAATTGTTATAAATATTATGCCTGTTAACGAAGACTTTGGAAATGTTGATTAATATGACATGCTGTGTTATTTTCTGCTGTCATGAAAATACGGATGAAGCATCTGAACTGTGTAATGGATAATTGAGGTCAATATAATTGAGGTCAATTTGAACAGTTTCCTCAGCTGTAAATTTAGATTTTCGAGCCGAAAATAGATAACAGATAAAAGAACTTCTTTAATAAACTTTTTAAGTTAAAATAATAATTTAGAACTAGATAGCAGTTGATATTAATGAACTAAAATTATGGGGTAATATAGTTGTTAAATGAAATATTCAATAATAATAATAACTTATTTGCATTTAAGGCCTATTATAAGTATTCAATATTATAATATTAAAATATTATAATATTGAATACAGACCTGAATTAAAAACAAATGGTAAAGTAAATATATATATATATATATATATATATATATATATATATATATATATATATATATATATATATATATATATATATATATATATATATATATATATATATATATATATATATATATATATATATATATATATATATATAATCTTCCCACCACCCATCACAGATACAGGCAGTGGCAAATACATTAATTGCTCGGTCCTTCAGGCTCACAAACGAGAGGAACAGAGATGAAGAACTGAAAAAAATTAGTACCTGTCTACGACAAAACGGATACCAAAGGCGCACCATCAGCAAGGCAATCAGTAAACAACAACAGCCGCAGCATTTATTTTTTATCGATTTAGTTCTGATAACATGATAAATAAATGAAAAAACAGTAAAATACCTACAAGTTAATAACCAAAATTATTTTTGCAATTAACTACATAATAAGACATTTCAAAAATTTTGTTCAAAATTATGTCCATCTGCTCGAACACAACTATCAAAAACTTTTAACAGATGAGCTTGGGTCACTTGTAGGAGAGTCCTTCTTGTGATAGCGGCACACGCTGCACTAATTTTGTTAATGAGATCAGCCATATCTTCGATAGGTTCTTCATAGATAACGTTTTTTAGGTAGCCCTAAAGAAAATAATCTGGTGGTGTAATGTCCGGGGACCTCGCCGGCCACCTTACCGGTCCATTAGTACCAAACCATCTATTGGGATATTCTCGGTTCAAATACCTCGTTACTATTTGGGCATTATGTGCAGGCGCTCCATCCTGCTGTAGCCACATATTCATTCTAGTGTCAAGAGGCACTTCTTCTAAGAGTTCCGGAAGTGTAGTTTGAAGAAATCTTAAATAGCGATCTGCATTTAAAGTTCCTTCGTAAAAGTAAGGTCCAATAAGGAATCCATTTAATATGCCGCACCAAACATTGATATTAAAAATTCGTTGGTTACCTCTTTCTGTAATCCAACGAGGATGGTTTTCGGACCAAAAACGACAGTTGTGTCTATTAACGATTCCATTATTTTGAAATCGATTTTCGTCGCTCCATAAAATTTTCGAGAGAAAATTTGCATCTTGGCTATACAAATCGGACAATTTCGCTAAGAAATACATTCTTCTAGCATAATCGCCTGGTTCTAGTTTATGAACTAGTTTACTTTTGTACGGGTGAAAAGAGTTTCTATGTAGAATTCTCCACGAAGAACGTATGGTACCACCGGTATTTTCTTTTATCTCTGATAGGGATATCTTGGGGTTATTATCAACCTGCTGAATTACAGCAGCAGTATTTTCATCATTTGTAGCCGTCCTGTTCCTATCTCTTTTAGGTTTTATGAAGCTGCCATATTCTCTTAAGTTTTTACATAAACTTGAAAAGGTTTTTGCATCGGGGACTCTTCTATGCGGATAACGCCGTGCGTAAACTCTTTTTGCTTCTCTACAATTGCATCTGCATTCTCCAAACACCAGTAACATGTCTA